ATCATTTTACACTCTTATTTACCGAAAGAGTTATTTTGAAAAGAGCATTGAGCGTGGTTAGACCAATGTCGAGTTCTGGGGTTTTTTTTTCCGCACGGGGGACAGATAAGGAAGAGAGATACTCTCATTAGTCATTTCCAGGTGGTTGTTTTTTTGTTGTTTTTTTTTTCATTATAGTTAGCGATGGAACCTGTAGGATTCCCACTTTGGCAATATGTGGAGATTTCCCTTGTAATCAAATACACTTTTTAATAAACATTCCATGCACATTTAAAAAGAAAGCATATTCTCTCTTTGGGAAAATGATCTTCAGTCTGCTTATTGAGTCAAACTCATTAATTGTGCTCTTCATAGGCTTACCTGTCAGTCTTTGAGAGTTTGCGGTTTGCAGAAGTCCCCCTGTAGTTTCAATAATTTGCTGATAGATTTCGATGCCTTTTTATTTTCACGGAGTATAGAGATCATTTCTGCTCTGTCTTCCCAGCAGACCCTTCCTTCATAGAAAATGGCTCTCCTCCTTCCTCTGTTGCAGAGGGCAGCCTCTGCCTGGCACCGCTCCCTTCCTGAGTCAGACTCACAGCCAGGGCTGCCTCGTGATTTCCTTTTCCTCCCCATTCCAGTAGGGTCTGGGTGACTTCACATTTTTCTTGCTTGTCCTTCAGCTGCAGCCTCGAGCGGGGAGCCTTTTCCAGGCTGTTGCCCCAGGGGCTGTGGGTGAGGGAGGGTCTGCCAGGCTGGACGGGGCACTAGCACCCTGCACGTGCATGGGGCCCAGTGGGCATGCGTCCTGGCTTCTGCTCTCCAGACCCCTGGCAGCTCCGCCGTCGGGCCCCTGTGCTCCAGCCTTTCCATGATGGTGAAGATTACCCAGCTGCCCACCCTGTTCTTTCCTCTTGGTCTTTCTCTTTTATCCTGAGGGTCTCTTCAGTGCCTTGCAGTCATGGGCGATGCCACGTAAGAGGAAGGTGCTGAAGAAGGAGAGTGGAGCAGCTGTGCCTTGGTGGAGCCTGCTGGTGGGTGAACTTCACCGTGGGGTGGTCAGGGCAGGGGAGTCCTGGCTCTAGGGACCCTTGGACTTCTGCATCTGGAGGTCTCTTGTGCTTTACATGTGGGGCGCGAGAGATGAACCCTAGATCTCCCGTCTGGGAAGTAGCACTTAGAGGCTGGTGTTCTGGACACAGGGAGGCGTGCTCGGAGAGCCCCTGGTTCACTGTCGCTTTAGCGCGGCCTCTGCCTTTCTCTGTAGCTGCCGTCCTTAGGTCTGCCGCCTCTAGTCTCCTGCCGGGCCACCGGAATGCACAGGCAGGGGGAGACCTGGGGCCTGGCATGGACTTTCGGCCTCTCTCTTCGCCAGCCCTCAGCCCCCTGCACCTGCCTGTGCCTCCCTCTCCCGGGCCTCTCGCCACGCTTCATTCTCATCACTGCTCTCCACAGATGTGGCTTCTAGCTTCCTTTGCCCTTTATAGCCAACTTAGGGCCTCCCTGGTGCCACAAGGGGTTAAGCACTGCACGGTGAAGCTGTCCACAGCCTCTGCAGTAGGAGTTCGAGTCCCAGCCAGGGAGCTACCCACATGGCACGGCAGATCTCTCCTGTCTCCCCGCTGCTCCCCTCAGCAATGTATTGCAGTAGATCCACCTGTTCTGCTCCCTGCTCTGTCTCTGGTGAATCCTCTCACCCTCCCCCACTCCTCTGGCCTGTTCCCCAGTCATATATGCGTAAATAAATCTTAAAAAATATAAAGCAACTTAATCCTTCACCCATTCTCTGCTATTTAAAATAATTTTGCTGTCCTTTAAAATGATTTATTTTTTTTGCAGTCATGTCTTCATTCTTTGTCCTACGGTACTTAAGTTGTTTTTTAATTTCTTTGTAAATTTTAGGGGATTATAGGAAAGGGGGAAATTAAATGTATACATTCCATTCTCTATAGTTAATTTTCAACAGGTTCCCCCTCCCCCATCTTCCAGAAATCACTCTAATGTCTGATTTGCTCTTGACTCCATTCTTACTTATCTTGCTGTCAAGTATTTCTTTATTTAATCCTCTAATTTAAGCCAGAAGTTCACAGGTGGGCCTTATGCTGGCCACTGCTACCTAAGTGGCTTCACAGCTTGAGGATGCTTTTCCCTGGTTCCTTTAGCAAGAAGCCCCTGTCTCTGTCAGTGCCACCACAGAAGGCCTCTCGAGAAAAGGGAGTCTTTTTAAATTTGTAGATTGCCCATTACCTTTAGATGGGTGGGGGGCCCCCCACAGGTTTTTATCGTGTCTCTTTTTTTTTTTTTAAGATTTATTTATTTATTTACACATGCACTGGGTACAGTCAGAAGCGCGGGAGGGTGAGAGGATTCACCAGAGCCAGAGCGGGGAGCAGAGCAGGCAGAAGGACCGAAGGACACTGCTGAGGGGAGCAGCGGGCGGCAGAAGAGGTCTGCGCGCCATGCGGGACCCTCACGTGGGGCCGGGGATCGAACCGGCACTGCAGAGGCTGCAGGTAGCTTCGCAGCCCAGGGCTCAACCGCTGCGCCACTGGGGAAGCCCTTGTTACTGTGTCTTTCTACCAGTAAAGTGAGCGACGGTATTTAAGACGATAACTTAGGCAAGTCTGTGATGATAAGCTACAAGACTGAGGTCAGCAAATCCAAGGGTCTCTAGAATCTATTAAAGATTCTAGATAGTAGAAGAATCCAGACCCAGTCAGGGATTTAAGTAAAGCCACTAAGTCCTGTGAGAGAAGGAAAAGAACACTTGAACACAAGCAAAGAAATCGACTTCAGAGGTATCTGGAAGATCAGGGGCTGGTTTAATGGTCACGGATGTAAGAAGTTTCTAGAACCAAAGGTAAGCAGAAGAAAGCGCACGGGGATTAGATCCAGGGCCATGAAATGCTTTTAGCTGAAAGCATCTTAGAGGACGTGGTTTGGGGGTACACCAGGAGTGGAAAAATGAGGGTGTCCAGAGGAAAGAGGCCTCGTTCAAAGAAAATCCAGTGAAATCCTGACGGAGATGCTGAGTTGGCGCCCTTGACTTCCAGGCCCCGGAGCTCAGGAAGCAAGGGCCGCGCTGGGGCACCGAGGAAACGCCCATTCCCCGAGGGCTGCCTGTTGAGAACACGCAGCGTGGCCGTGGACCTGCCCTTGTGAGTCGACATCCCAGCGCCCCTGAGCGTCGCCCCCGGGATGGTGGCGAATCACGCCACAGGCGAACTTGTCATCTTTCCTCTTAACAGCGTCAGCCACATCCGTGCATTCCTGGCCCCTCCATCCCGGGGGCGAGGGAGAGAAGGCAGAGGGCAGCGATGACCCGGACGGCTGCAGGCAGGACTGCCAAGCCTCCAGTGGGCCCTGCCTGGGGCGGTCACGATCTTTCTGGCCTGTGCTGACCCGCCGTCTGGTGCCAGGTCAGGGATGATTAATGTGACTTCCTGCCCCCTCGCTGGTGTGCAAATGCTGCAGGAGCAAGTCCTGAGCCTTTGAAGACTGCTGTTCCCACCGTGTTGTACATGCAGTAAACAAGTGCTCAATTAACGCTCCTGGGGAGGACAGAGCCACGGGGAGGCTCTGCGGAGGGGAGGCCCAGACGTGACTCAGGAAGGAGAAGAAACAGCTCAGGCATCATGTCTTTCTTTTCGGTCTTCAGCCGTCCCAAGTAAAAGGGACCAGCAGGACTACGTTTTGTAACTACCCGACTGCGATTAGTGTGTGACCCAGATGTTTGTCCCTATTAAGAGCTTTAACCCCAAGGAAGGGTGCAGGGTAGGGGCCAGCTGTGCACAAAGCAAATAAAACGTCACCCACCCTCTGCTATTTTCTGAGCTGATGCAACAGACTCTCGGGTGGAAATTTTCCAGTTGTGAAAACTTCTGAGACCTGTTATAATTTGGGTCTCATCTACCTCAGCTTCATCACAGAGTACCTTAATTAAATTAGTAAATAGCTGGAAGGTTCTGGAAGTTGCTTGTGGTCTCCGAGCTGTGTGGATGGGCAAGATAATGGAAGCGTCTAGAAGGTGGCATCCTTCCCCATGAATGCCTGGCATGCCATCTCTAGACACTTTGTTGTTGATGGTTTACTTCTCCCGTTTCTCTTAGTTCCCTCTTCAATCTCTAGGCCTATGTCTCACTGCTGGAACTCTTGTCTCGCTCTCCAAGTCTCGGCTTACCACTTCCTCAGAGAACCCCTCTGGAACGTCCATTTTCTCTATCACATACTGTCTCTTCTCTATGCTGCCAGTTGTGTCTTTTATCACTCTTTCCTCAAATTCTGGCACTTGTTTGATGTTTGTTGAATGAATAAATGGTTTTAACCAAAGCAGGACTAGATTGTTCTAGACTGGAAGACGTGTGATGCTTTCCATCCGCCTAGCCTGGAGGAAGTGGCTGCCAGATGCCTGTGTTGCTTTGCAGTGTGCCCAACCCAGGGCCATTGGAGTCACGTCGAGAGGAAGTTCCATCGGCTCCCCACTTGCCCCACATCTGTGTTCCAGCTGTGATAACTTCACTCTGTCCCTTTTGGAGGGAAGTGTGTAGATGAGAGTGCCCTGGGGTTGGAAGTTGAATTGTACGTTAATGATGAAAAACACATTTATTGAGCATTTACTACGTGCCAGCCACCAAGTGCCACGGACCAGCACAGCTGTGAACGATGAGGCTGTCTCAGGGTTGAGAGAAGTGTGCAGGGTGGTCAGGGAGTCGGCGAAAGCGCGCTGGTTCCTTGCCCAGCCGGACCTAGGGACCGTGGCGAAAGCCATTAGCCCTAAAGTTCACTGCAGGGGGAGGTGCAGCCACCAAGCTATCTGTGTAACATAGGCCATCTTGTTTAATTCTCAGGAGGAGTAGATCATCTATTATTCTTATTTTTGCAAGTGAGGAAACTGAGGCACAGAGAAAATTAGATGCCTACCCAAGTTCCTGCAATTCAGGGATGAGAGGACTAGAACTTGGATGCAGATGTTTGATGCCAAAGCTTCTGCAGGCATAGCCATTCTGCTGTTCCCCCTCTAGGCTGGCAGCAGCTCAGAATCGCCGGCTGCAGCAATTCTGGAAGAACAGATCACAGAGGAAGAAGAGACACCTCCGAGGACGAACAGATCACAGAGGACATCTATTTGGTCCATTGCCTTCGCCGCTGAGGTGAAAATGTAAGCCTGAAGTTTCCAGCCACTGATCATTTGCAGAGAGGGTGCTGCAGTTTTGCAGTTGGACTCGCATGTGCAGCTTACCCAGGGAAGGAGACGCCAGCCCCAAATCATTTTTGGCAAATGCACTTAGCCCTTTGACCACAGGGTAAAGGAACCCCTTCTCTGGGGTAACCTGAGTAAGTGCACTTAGTGCTTGGCTCCAAAAGACACTTTGAGGACGAACTCCCGCGCGCCTTGCCTTCTGACTTACGGTTCATGTCAAGCACCTCATAGCCCAGCAGTCAGCTCGTGCCCCGCCGGCCCCTGCGCTTTGTGGGGCGCGCAGCACGCAGCCCGGGAGGCGGACTCGGGACAACGTGGGGAAAGCAGCAGGACAAGGTTTCCACATCCATGGTACAAGTTTTGGACTAATGTCACAAGCCCTTTCTCCCCACTCTCCTGCACCTTCCCCCCGAGTTCATCAACTCCCATAGCTCCTTAGGTTGGAAAAGGTTTGAGAGTAAGGGGGGTGCCCTGGAAGGGATGCATTTCACATCCCGGTGCTGTTTTTGTAGCTGCCACATGTGGCCCCGTGTTAAGTAGCTGAACCCTTGTGCTGCTGGCAGTGGGACTGGGCCCTCGCCTCCTACGGGGCGCCTCCTGACTTCAAAAAGCCTTCCACAGGGTCTCAGAGGGGAGGAAATGCAGGAGGGGGTCGCACTTCTGCGGCCTGAATTCAGTTTCCATCTTCATGCTTCCTGGTGATGGAGCCAGGCAGGGGAGGGGAGGGTGGAGGGGTGTGAGGGCTTCCTGATAAAACCCTGGGAATCCTGATATTTTAAAGCGAGATGGCAACTCTCCACGAGCACCTACGTGTTTTTTTTTTTTAAGCCATAGTGAAATGTAATTTCAGTGGGGAAGGTTCACATTCAGACATGCAAGGTACATGCTGTCAGTTAAGGATTATTCATAAAAGCATTTCATGGGGAAAAGGCAGCTCTGGTAGCAGGCAAGGCCACCCCAAGAAGGGACACTGCGGGGTGACAGCCTCACGGTGAGTGGCTGGGAAGCGCGGACGCAGCTGGAGGGCCTCTCTGTTCTGGGAAGTCTTCGTGATGGTCCAGTGTTTGGATTTTGTTCATTTGCCTCTTACAGTTTCTCAAACTTTGCAGCAGTCTTTAAAATCTTCCAAACAAGGCCTCCCTGGTGGTCTAGGGGTTAAGTCTCAATGCTAGCACCACAGCGGCCTGAGTTTGCTCCCTGGCCAGGGAGCTACCCCCATGGCATGGCAGACCTCTCCTGTCTCGCCCGCTGCTCTCCTCAGCAGTGTATTTCGTCAGTCTGCCTGTTCTGTTCCCCACTCTGTCTCTGGTGAATCCTCTCACCCCCTGCACCTCTGGCCTGCACCCCAGTTCTTGTATCCATAAATAAATGTTTAAAAAAATAAAATCTTCTGAAACTTTTTCTATGTGAAAACAAACCAACGGAATCTGTATTCTCTCCTGCTTTCTATTTTGAATGAAAATTTTAAGTAATATAATAATGGACTTTTTTTTAAAGTCTGCAAACATGAGGCAGCCTCTAAGTTACTGCAGGAGCCACTTTATTCCAGCTGATTTAATAGAAACATGATCATACTTTGTTAGATTAAATGAACTGATTTTCCTTTTTTTTTATTTCTTCATCTTTTAGTTATAATTTTTTTTTAATGAAGTACCATTGTTTTACATCCCAGTTAATACTTTGGCAGTGCAGGACCTCTCCCCTCCCATCACTGTAGCACTGCCACTTCCAAAGCACCCTCAGCCCCCCACAGCCCATTGTGCTCTTTACCCCCACCCCTCCCCTGCCCACCCTGCCCCCAGCCTCAATTCTAAGTTCAACTTTCAAGGATCCGTTCTAATATTTGTCTTTCCACATGTCAGCCACTGATTTTTGTTTTAAAATGCAGCCCTTCAACAGGATTTCCTGCACACCAGGGTGTGTAGGTGTGTAAGGAACTGTGATAGAGACCTTGGCATCACCTTTAGAATAAATGACTAACTCAGAACATGAAAAACCCCTGTTTTCCTCGTGTAATGACGCACTCTGAGATTTGAAGACAACTTGGTTGTGATGATTTGGGGTGTGGTATTGGGGGGACTCCAGCTTTTCCATGGTGCCCCTGAGCTTAACCTGAGTCAGTCTGTCTGTCCTGTATGTATCTGTCTCTCTCCCCCTTCTAAGCCCATGGGGAGGCCAGTGGTAGCAGTTGAGCTGGAGATTTCTCAGTGTGAAACTAATTGGCCCATTTGGGGCTTATACCCAGATTCTTAGACTTCTTAGCACCTCTCTTTGGACAACTGGGCTTGCCACTTTAGATGCAAATGCTAATTGTTAATCATTAGGAATGGTCTTCCCCAGTGGGGTCACAGAGAGAAGGGAGTCTCCGCATCAGCACCTACACCCCAGCTCTTGCATGCAAAAATAAATAATTTTTTTTAAAGGCCCATTGAAATTTCTGATTCTTTTCTAAGGAGGTGTTTGCAGCAAGCTTGTTCTTGCAACATCTGTCACTTACCAGCTGTGTGACCTCTGGCAGTGCCCTCACCTCACTGCCTTGTTTTTCTTGTCTATAAAATGGGGATGTTAATAGCATTTACCTTAGAGGGCTGCTGCGAGGAGGATGCAAAAGAATTGATGTAAATCCTGCGCGCCATGTGGGACCCTCCTCCGGTAGCCAGGTTGCAGCTGGGGATCGAACCAGCGCTGCAGAGGCTGCGGGCAGCTTCGCAACCCAGCGCTCAACCGCTGCGCCACCGGGGAGGCCCATCTGTTTTGTTTTTTTTTTTAAGATTTATTTTATTTTATTTATGCATACAAGAGCTTGGTTGCAGAGATCACATGCTCTGCTTTTTCCAACATATAGATGGTTCGACTTGAGCCACCCATGTACAAGGAGCCATCTTGTCGCTTGGGAATTCACAGGGAGCTGAGTGGGGTGAGGAAGGAGTTAGAGCCCTCAATCGGAGAAATCACCTCAAGGTCCATGTCAGCCTTGACTTCGAAGATTGGAATCCCTAAAGGGTGTCTGTGTGACTCCAAAGGGTCTTACATGGTGGGGCCGGGGGGATTATGCCAGGTTCGTACAGTGTCATTCACAAAGCTTTCTCGATTTATACTGGATGTTCATCAATGTCTTCATTCATTCATTGGTCGTTTTTAATGTTTCCAGGTGGTGAAAGAAGAAAGATCAGTAACACCAGTTACCCGGCCAGCAGGATGCAACCGTCTTGATGGTGAATCAAGCAAGTGAACAGTTATGTGCAGCTGGTAGAAGCTGCGCTTTCTACAGACGAGCATGGAATGCCGTAAAATCGCCAAAGCAAACCCCTGATTGGATTGGGCATGAGTGAAGCAGGAAGGTCCTAGCAGCCCCGGCCAGTGTCTTCAAGCCGAGTTAATTCAGGTAAAGAGCTGTGTGTAAAATTGCAAAGTTGGCGTCATTCTGACCTTGACATCTCCTTGGACAAGGGGTCACTTAAACTCAGGACCTCGACCCCATCCCACATATGGCTAGGTCTCAGCGGTTCTGCCAAACACTGAAATAGACTCAGAATTTTGTGCGCAGATAAGTTTTCTGATCATACTTTAACCAAATTGTCGGTTTTCCGTGACTTCCAAAAATGTTATCACCATTGCTCCAGAGAAACAACAGTTCTCTGGCAAGTCTAGTTGCTTTGTGGTCGAGAATCTGCTTGTCTGTAGAAATTTGATGATGAAGATGAGCTCACCGAGAATGATTTTACTTCAAAGAATTTTCCCCAGTATTATTCCATCTGGGACTTAAACAGAATGGCTTATAGTAGCAATGCCAAAGCATTGCCGTACTCACACAAATATACTTCTAGAAGGTCCAAAAGATAAACATATTATTTAAATTAAAAGACTTCCTCACCCTTATCCCAAAGTTAAACACCATCAGCTGATTCTTATATTTTCTGGGGGAAAAATATGAAGGGCCTCTCAGTGTATATGTAGTTTTATTTAATCAGAAAGGATCAAGTTGTACACTGTGCTCTGTCCCTTGCTGGTAGTGCAGCTGGTGGAAACTGCACTTTCTAGAGACGAGCATGGAATGCTGTAAATGCAGTTATCTCTCAATAACGGGTGCCTCCCAGACACAGCTCTGGATCAGCACATGCTGGTCTCGCGGATTCCCTGTTTGGTGTCCGGGTCTCCCCTTGTTGGGTGGCCCTGTCATGGGGGCCCATCCAGCCTTCCGGTGTGAGTCTCCTTGAGGTTGCTTCTAGATGTCCAGTGTTGCAAACAACACTGCTCTGTGCATCCTTATCCATCTAGATTAAGGTGTTTTTTCCTGCATTAAATTCCTAGCAGTGGAGTCATTGGGTTAGAGGGCTTGGGCATTCACAGTGTTGCTAGCTATCAACAAATTGCCCTTCTAACCCGCCGAACAGTGCAGCCTCACCTACAGGGGTGAGAGGGTCTATTCCTGCACACACTTGGTATTATCAAACATTTTCCTTTAAGAAATACTGTTGCACAGCTGCTGGGTGTATTTAAATCTATCAATAGCCAGAAAAATTGTGAAGCTTGCACTGGATATCAAGAGCCCTTCCAAGTCTAAAGAAGACCTACAAAAACTAGTAACCCCAAAACCTAAAGCGATGCATGAGCGGTGGTGCGGACCTAGGTCTTTCCCACGCTTTCATATTTGTCCCATCAGCGTAGCAACCTGACAATTGGCACTGCATCAACACAGGAGTTTTTAAAATGTATTATTGCCTTAGAACTCCTATGATTCACCATTTACATGAGTTTTTAAAATCCAGGCTGGATGGGCCTGTGACTGTTTAGGGTCAATGAAAAGTGGGCTGGTGGGGGTAGGGGGGAGGTATGAGTCTCCCTAGAAGGCTTGGTGAGCTCAAGGACACTCAGCTCTGCAGGGGAGGAGAGGAACAGAAGGCATTTGACCAAAGACGTGAAATTTCTTTGAGGTCGCTTTAAATAACTTATGATAGAATTTTGGACTTTTTGTAGAACATGGATCAATCATACTTGTAAGTTTTACAGCTGTCAAACTTAAACTATCAAGGAAAACTCGTTCATCTATATTACAGAGCCTCTTAAAGCTGCGACATGCATACGAATCACCTGGGGATCTTGTTAGAATGCAAATTCTGATGAGGTGGGAGGCTCGGGCAGGACTGAGAGTCTGCATTGCTAAGAAGCTGCACAGTCCCACACTCGCCAGCTCGAAAATTCACATTTCTCCCAGATGCCTGCTTCCTTTTTCCTTCCTTCTTTTACTTGGGCCCACGATCTGATAGTATTTATATGTGCGTATATCCTGCTTCATAATATATTCTTAGACGTCTGCTTTCTAGAACATTAATTGAGAAATAGGCCATTGTTACAGAAACCACAGTGTACTTTATGGGAAACCATTGGGCACAAAGGCAAAATCATTGACAAATTGATACTTTCTTGCTTGGTCACGCCTGATTTAAGAAAATGAACCCCAAATAGGCTATGTGAATTGGAAATTGACTTCAACCACATTGAAATTGTCCTCCCTTAAAATATTAGCAGCTGAGTGTGTAAACCCATATTTATTTTCTAATCAAAGTTTTGCGGTAAATGGTTTATAAATGAAAGAAACGAGGGAAGAATGCTTCAAATGTTTCTAGTAATAGAAATGGAAATAAGATATATTATTTCTGCAAATGGCAGACACCGGTCTTCGCGAAAAGCCATTCTGCTCTGGGAAGAGGAAATCCTATGAAAAGCTGACGACTGCATGGAAGTCCACGGCCAGCTCATCTCTGCCAACGATCGCCATAAATATTTCTCCGTGGAAAAAAGTGGAAGATGCAGCTACATGAAGGGAGACTCTATTAACAGCAGAATCGCAGAGAGAGGACCCCTTCAAGAAAAAACTTCCAAAATTCCATTATCTTAACTGTCACTCGCCACTGGCAGTTGTCTTGGGGGGGGGTGTTTTCATGAATTACCCGAGCTGTTTGTTTTCCCTGTATCAGTCATCACCCTGTCAGCCGGGCCATTCATAACAACTTTTGGCAGCTCATCAGGGGACTTCAGAGCTTGAATAGGGCCCTATCAACTCTCACACCTCATTGTGTGAAACTGTTTACCAGCATTGCCTTTTTCTGTAAATATTACAAGCAGAGCCCTGAAAGGAGAGACGTGTGAAAACAAAATGGCTTGAGCCTGTAGTGGGCCTAGGGGCCGGGGCAGAGGCCTTGCAAGGCCTGAGCTTTGTCGCTTCCGGCGGAAGGGGCCTGGGCGTTGTTCCCGAGCCTAAGTATGCTGGTTAATTAGACAGTATTTAATTTGACTTTACACGTGTGTCAGTGATGAAACTGGGGTTTGTAATTAGGGAGCAAGGTCGACTTTCTGTCACAACTCTGCTCCCTTAGTCTAATTTAATGCACATTTTCCCCCGGGTCCTGTCACTCTGGAAGGGCTGTTGGCCCTCACTGTCTTTAAATCGTGACTAGGAACTCGGTGGCCCAAATTATAACAACAACAGCAAATGGACTCAGTCTCCCGGACGGAAGGACGTGAAGCGTCTGCCAGATTTGCCCATCAGAAATCATTTTCTGTTTGCAATGAATGTCAACAATTCTCTCCGAAAACCATTATCACCAACTTGCAAATGGGGGTGATTTTACCCCCTTTGCTCTTTATTTCGACTGAAGTTGTATGTGCCTAGATTTTTAAGTGTGGAATGGTTTTAAGTTTTGTGTAGAAGAATAGTTTCGTGTGATTCCTTCCCCAGGCAACTGGAGCTCTGGCGGCAGATTATTGAGAAAATAATTTCACAGTGAGAAATTATTTTTTTGCTTTGCTTCCTTTTGCTTGTTATAGAAATGGAATCATATTGCTGTGAATTGCTACTTTCACCTACCATTAAGGTGTTTGTTTTTTGTTTTTTTTTTTTTAAGAAAACACCCTTTTAAAAATCAAAGTATTATTTATATATAATGACGTACGCAGATTTTCAACGTACAGTTTAAAGGAGTTTTTAACAAACGAATGCATCAGGTAACCAGTCAACGTGCAGGATGTTTCCATTCTCCCAGAATTTTCCCTCCACGAATGATCACTTTTCTGTCCATCCATCCATCCAAACATCCATCCATCTCTCCATCCTTCCGTTCAGCCTCATCTTCTTTCTATCATCAGAGGTTATTAGATTTTACCTTCCTGCATGTTGTCATGCAGTCGTTGTTTTTTTATGTCTGAATTCTTTTGCTTAAAACTATGTCTTTGAGATTGATGCAAAAATGTATTCCTTTTAACTACCAAGAGTGTTCCATGACACGACTGTTTTACCACTTACAAATTCACTTGTTTATGGTCATTTAGTTGTTTCCAGATTGGGGCAATTAACTTTTCCTCTTGCTATTGATTTGTTGTTCTTGTATATTCTAGATAACAAGGTCTTTGTCATAAATAGAATTTTCAAATATTTCTTTTGGTCTGTGACTTCTCTTTTCGTTTTTCTTAATGGTGTTTGGTAAACAGAAATGTAAAATTTTTGATTATGTCCAATTTATATTTTTATGACTGTTGCTTTTTGTGTCCTTTCATAGAAACTTTGCCAGCTACAAGAGCTGTGGATACTCATGTGTCGTCTTTTAGAAAACAAGACTTTATAGTTTCAGATTTTACTTTAGGGCCTCCTATCTCAACTGTCTCCATCTAATTTTTGTATATGTTGCAAGATAGAGGTCAAGGTTCTTTTCTTATTTTTACTAATATGGATCCCCAAATTGTTCTGGTGTTGTTTGTTGCAAATTTTTCCGTACTCCACTAGACATGTGTGTGTATGTGTGTGTGCAATGCGCTCAGTCCCCTTTGTTGAAAATAATTTGACCACTCATATGTGAATCTTTTTCAGGACTTTATTCTGTTTTATTTATTTGTCTATATAAATAACACAGTGTCTTAATTATTGTTATTTTACAGTAAGTCCTGAAAGCAGGAAGTATCAGTCTCCCAAATTTGTTTTTCTTTCTAAAGTTATTTTGACTCTTCTTTATCTTTTGCATTTGCATATAGATGTTACAATCAGCTTGTTAATTTGTACTTAAAGCCTATAACTTTGAGTGGGATTATACTAAATCTACAGGGCAAATACTTTACTAATATTATTTCACTTTACTTTACTAATACTAATTCTTTACTAATATTACTAATAATAATTCTTTACTAATATTAAAGATACTTTACTAATATTAATTCTTCCAACCTACAGGTATTTTATGTGGTTTTTATTTAATTTTTCTGCAATATGTCATGTTTTTCAGAATGCAATTCTCACATGTATTTATTTTTGAGTAACTTATGCTTTTTCTATGATTGTTAATGAATTGCTTTTAAATATCACTTTGTAATTGTTTGATGGTAAAAAAATCAAAA